GCTGAATACCTGCCTGACCAGAATGTCTGTGAAAAGAGGGTTACAGGTGGTGGTCTCTGAGGCAGAAAGAGCTGCATTGGCTTTCAGGTGCCAGGGTGATTGTGCAGGTCTGAGAGGTTAAAAACCCAAAGAAACAAAAACCCTAACATTTTTTTTCTTTATAGATTTGAAAAAAAGTGTCACTGTTGTGGGGTGTGCGTGTGGAACGGAGAAGAATTTGGTATTGATGGGTTTTATTTGGGGTTTTTTTTGTGTTTTTTTTAACCTTTTTATGCTTCAGAAAATGCTTCAGTTCCTCAAAAATAAGCAGATCAATTTTTTTTTTTTCCATGGAACACTCAAAGCACTCAAGTTCTGTAGCAGTTATTAAAAACACTTATGAATAAAATTATCAAAGAGCATGTGCTAATTTAGAGTGTGATTTCTATTGCAGTTCCCAGAGTGTGGTTTCTTTGGCATGTATGACAAAATTCTCCTCTTCCGTCATGACCTGAACTCAGATAATATTTTGCAACGGATTACGTCAGCAGAAGAGATACGTGAGGGAGATCTCGTTGAGGTTGTGCTCTCTGGTAGGTATTGTTGTAACAGCGAAACAGCTCTTTATTTGGTAGATTAAAAGAAAATAGGACTCTATGGAACATTGTTATCGTGCTCGCCTTGAGCTCTTTGACTTAAATCTCACACTGAATCACTGTTTTTGCGTAGAGCTTTCCAAGAAAATCCAAGTGGTACTGATACTTCAGTACTGAGTTTTGTTATTGTTTCACTGTCATGTTTTAATCATCTTCAGGTTTATTATTAAATAAATCTGAATTACAAGAATATGAATTTACAATTATAAAATAAAAGTTTATAATTGAAGCTGAAATGCAGGTAGGATTCAGGATTTGCTCTTCCAACCCTGTTGTCTTTCTTTTGCTTATATCTGTCTTTTTGTTCTGTAGCTTTTGCGATTGATGTTTTGTACTGCTACAAGGCTTCATATAAATGTGGTTGCTGAATCATACCTATAAGCAGAGTCTTAAGGGTTATTGCTGGGTTTGAAGACAGTTTCTTTTAAACGATAGTTCTTAGAGTAGTGGTTATTAACCTGTAGTACTCTTTAATAATAAGGACAAAAAAACCCTCCAAACCCTAACTGATTTCAATTGTGTTTCGTCAATACTCTGTCTGATTCAACCAGCCAGCTGTAGTTAAAGTACAAATAAAAGCTGGACTAGTGTTGTGCAGCTCTTTCAGACTTTGAGGACTAAGCGCCTAGCTGAGGTTATGATCTAGAAAGAGAGATCTCTTGGCTGTCGTGGGATTAGATTTGTAAATTGGATCAATGAAGTGTGATTTCCAGAGTCATAAGGCTGAGTTCCTTGGCTGCATTTCAGGGCCTACTGTTCTAGGCATGTCTAAGGTGTTCAGTGGTTGATAACCTTGGTCTGAGCTTTTCATTGCTTCTGGTGAGTGGCATATTTGGAAAATTTGCCTTGTGTGCCTCTTCTTGACAATCTCTGACAGTTCCCTTATAAACAGACAGAGCACCAGAAACCGATGTATTTTGAACACATGTAAATCTCTTTCAGTAGGGTTTTAAAACTGAGATATGGGAATCCAAATATGTGTTAGTAATGTTTGATCAAAGATTAGTAGCCATCAGGTCAAGATAATGTTGATGTAAAATACCACTTTTTTTTTTTACATTCCAAAGAAACAGGACAAAAAAATAATTTAAATATATCTAAGTTTAAATATTACTAGTGAAGTTTCCAGTGTTCCATGGAAACTCTGTCCGCAGTTCTGTTCTAATACATGCAGGATTCAATCTAATAAGCTTTTACTGAAAAAGTCCTTTCAAAGATAAAAATCTAACCTGTCGAACTGTCCTTCGTTTGCAAATTTTGTAGGTTACAAAACAGCTTGAAAATTAAATTGCTCTTTCAAATGTTTACTGTTAAGTTGAAAGCCAGTTTGCTTTTAGCAAAGCTTGTTGTATTTGCCTTCTCAGCTTAGTGAGGTTTTCAACGTTGTGACTCATACTGTTGATTAGTTGTGGCCATTAGCCTACAGAATCCAACGGATTTTTTCTTCAATAACAAAGCTTACTGAAGACTATGTAATCTTCTAAATGCATATTTAAATGGTATAATGCTGATGTCTGAACAGCTATTAATGTTCTTTGAATCTGCCATTTTTAAAACAACGTATTCTTTCTATAAATTGTTGTTGATCCTATGTCAAGAACCATAACTTACTGCAATTTTTTAAAAGCTTTGGCTACAGTTGAAGATTTCCAGATTCGTCCTCATGCACTTTATGTGCATTCCTACAAGGCTCCTACTTTTTGTGACTACTGCGGAGAAATGCTTTGGGGTTTGGTACGACAAGGATTAAAATGTGAAGGTAAGTCTGTGATTTTTAGTGTATTTTTATGTATGTACCTCTATATAAGATGAGGAAGAAGAAATTGTATCTTGTTCGATGCATTAGCACGTGATAAATCTGATATTTCATAGAGTTGGAAGGGGTTGTGCATCAGGAAGCCCGAGTTCTGATGCCAGCTTTAACACAAACTGTGTGTGACCTTGGGCAAACGGCTTAAGAAGTGTTCTTGTTTCCCACTTTGGAGAAAAAAAATAGCTTACAAGTGTGTGTTCTTTGCACAAGGAGTGCATGCTTTGGAGTGACTCCCGAAGGGGAATGCCTTTCCTTACGGCCTTCATCCAGCTGGCTGCAGAGCACTCTGCAGCCTGCTGTCAGGTACTGACACTGCCTGTTCACTGACTTCTCCTTGGCTCCTGTGCTCCAAAGTGGGGGAGTGATGAAAGCCTCCTGGTGCGGGGAGAAGTGAGGAAGGCAGTCAGCCACTTTGGAGTCTTAGACCTTGTTTCTAGAGCTGGGCTTACTAGAGACCAATATTATAGCAAGTAGTGCAAAAAAAGCTGTTTCTGTGGATTGCATCGAGAACACTGAAACAAGAGAATTTACGAGAACAATCTATTTCTATCTTTACCATTTTCCTGGATCATATTTTTAATTGCTTTATCAAAATATTAGTACTATTTTTGTTGGAATGTTGGGAGTTTTTTTGTCTAAAAAAACTTTCACTTTCAGGTTGTGGATTAAACTACCATAAGCGATGTGCCTTCAAGATTCCAAATAACTGCAGTGGAGTGAGAAAGAGACGTCTGTCTAATGTGTCTTTACCAGGAGCAGGGCTTTCAGTTCCAAGACCAACACAAGCTGAATACACATCCTCTGCCTCTGAAGAAGTATGTAATGTGAAAAGGGAAACAATTTCTGGTTTTAAATCCTTAAAGCTCCTGGGAGCTAGCTAGTGTTGCAAGTGGCTCATGATGAGTACGAGGGAGTTGAGCTTAGCCATTACGACTGGTTTTAGTTCATTTTTAAGTCTGAGTCTTAGACTGTGACACTTACTGATAACTATTATTACTGTGAGAAATGAAACGGGAAGTAAATTATAACTTTTATGTATAATTGTATTATTAGCCTGTCACAGTTACATGAACTCTGAGAACTTTGGTTTTAGGAGTGATAAAACACATTGCCGCCTTCATTCTGTAATTATGGTATCAGAGTAGAATAGTTACTTGGCTAAAGCGGTACAAATTGTAAGCTTTTATGCTGGGAGAGGAGAGAGTGTTCCTGATATGCTGTTAAGCTTTTCACAGAGTTAATCTAAAAAAACCCAAGCCCTTTCAAGGAGGATGTAGAGCATGAAGGGTTTACAGTAAAAACCATCGTCCGTAATAGTTCTTTGTTATAATGGTTATGATGATTGCTGGGAGGTTATCAATTGCACTGCAGCTGTACTGGGATCTTAGGGCAGGCAGCGATGAGATCCATTTGTTTCATTGCTGCTTTCACTGTGGGATGAAAGTAGTGCTTTTGACACTTAGTTGTTCCTACTTATCTAGTTCTGTTACTCTACAGTATAACAATTCTTACATTCTTAACGTAGTTTAAAATAGAGAGTGTATAGATTTTCTGATTCAAGAGCAATTTTTTAAGCTGGAGGCTATGAAGCCTAGTCTTGAGTCATGAAAAATATTTATTCTGATGTTTATAACTATTAGTAAGATTTATTCAGTGAACATAGTATTGTGTTTCTCCTCTTAGGGAATTTAACTTTATGATTTCTACATGCGTGTTTAGTACCTCTTTGACACCTCTTCTTTGCTATCCAATTTAGGTTATTTGGCTTAGATGATCAGCAATATATTATCATATCTGCAGTCTTAAAATGCTTGAGGTCAGATGTACAGGGCCATGTTCCTTTACATTTTTCTGTAGATATAGGTAATTGTAAATTTATCGTGCTGAAGGTTCAGTTTGATACCTAATGCTATTTTTGTTTTAATTGTCAAAGTTTTTGTTTTAACTTCATTTCAAAGATTTCTTGGAGTTTAATTTCAAAAATGTTTTTTAGTTTTCTGAATATTTTTTCCTAACTTGGTAAGCTATCCAGGTATGCCGTACTTTACTTTTTAAAACTGATAGCTTGCGGTAGTGATTGGATTTTGGTTTGCCTACCTCCAGTGTTTTCCCTTTCATCCCCTACACTGGGGTCTGTCTGTGCTGTCTGGGAACCTTGTCAGGTTACTTAAAAAAAAAAGTGAATTTTTAGTATTTTAGCTTCTGTGGAAATAAAGATGTGTACATACTTTTCTGCTCTCTACAAGGCTCTTCTGTCTGGTGTTTTCTTGGTTTTGTTTTACGATATCAGAATGTCCTTTTAAAGCCCCTGGGGCAAGTTGCTTTCTTACCTGGTCACTTCCTGAGCCAGCACCTCCCTCCCAGCTCCACTGGCTTTTTTCTTTTTTTCCTGAAGTAGAACTGTGTTGGTGCAAATTGTGTATGCCTTCTTTATTCCAGCGCTGCTGCCCAGAACCTAGTAAGAGGATTCCCTCCTGGAGTGGCCGCCCCATCTGGCTGGAAAAGATGGTGCTTTGCAGAGTGAAGGTTCCGCACACATTTGCTGTTCACTCTTACACTCGTCCCACCATATGCCAGTACTGCAAACGGCTGCTCAAGGGCCTTTTTCGACAAGGAATGCAGTGTAAAGGTAAACATTTAATTTTCTTCTGTAACAATAGATTTCAGTAAAAGTCTTGTATTTAAACTGATTTCAACTTATGTTTTGATTGCCAGAAGGTTGTATACTGCAAAATGGGACAGTATATTTTTTGAGAAATTGCATATTTTTGAGAGGATTACAGCAGCCCTCATTTTCACTTTAGTATACTCTGCATTGTATGTTTTTCTGAAAAATAAGATTTAATCACGTGTACTTTGGGAACACCTTACTTCTAGAGGGATAATTCTAAAGTAATAAAAATGGGAAATACTTCCCTTTGTTCAATGTCTGTCTTCTAGACTCATCACTAAAGAATTTGTAAGTTTTCATTATATTATTTTAGTACAGAATCCTGGTTATTATCTTTTGGAAGAAATGTATACAGATGGGTGCCTTTCCTGAACTAGCTCAAGCTTCACCAGCTGCATGGTTTTTATTTAACATATGTTAAGATGCAAGACTTGGGTTGTCAGTTCCCAGGGCATAACTATGACATTGTGGTCATCTTCCGACTCTTTATTGCTGGATAGTACAGATCTGTCAGCTTTGTTGCAGGAAAGAAAACTGTAGTGCTGACTCCTAAACATTTACTATGGAAAGGACTTTCCATTGCTCTTATGTGAGCTTGTCAAATACGAGTACCAAAGGTCAACATTTTGAAAGAGATTGCTTAATACATTTTCAGTTTCTTTTAGTAGAATAAATCAAAAATTGTAAGCTTATAGCTGTGTAAACTTTGTTTTGAATAAAATACTGCCATCCTGTGTAAGTAAGGAACTAGTTTTATCTTTCTTTTCTGTTTTTATTAATTTCCAGTCTTTTGTAGTCTGTTTGAAGTCTGCATCCTGAACTGGTTTTGACTTTTTTTTGTAGCCAGTGTGTCTCTTGGATACATGTAATACATAAATAATGAAGCCTGAAACAAAATCCTTTACAGTTTTAACATATAGATGCTACTGACCATATACAGTTGTTGTGACTGTATATCCAGCTGCCACATCAGTTTCAGGAAAGTGACTGAAACTGGATAAAAATACAGTTTATGTATGGAAAACAAACTTAGAGAAATAAGAACAGAAATAAGTGTATTAATAGGCTTCAGTTTATGCAGTATGGTCCTTGTATTTTTAATATATCAGGAATTGATACCAAACAATCAAAATATTTTCATACTGCATTCTCCTACAGATTCTTAAGGTTTCCCACCTACTTCCCTGTGTGCATTCCCGAAGCTTGTCTTTCAGCAGCCCCATGTTCCTGAGTACGTGTAAGAGCCCTGGATTTCTTGAATGTATCCAGGGTTCTACTTGGACTCTGAGGATGATCTTTGGGATGCTAAGACTGTATTTGGTTAATTGAGCCCAGGAACATTCCTGGATACTGAGGTCGACTTGGACAAAATGACCTGTGCTTGTGAACAAGTTCTCTTAGCATCCCAGCCCAGGTGGCTCTATGCAGACTGCCTATTGGGAACAATTTCATGGGATGCTCTGATTTATGAACTAGACTAGGAACTGTGTTGGATTGTTCTAATGCTGTGGGCCAAAAGCACGCAACGGGATGTTTCTAACTGTTTCCTAGACTGGAGAGTTGCATTGCAGTACCCAAGAATGTTTCTGGACATAGTTTCATTTGTTAGGATTGACTTAGTCTTCGTAGTTTCCTGCTAGGATTTGAAATGTGTCTGTTTCTTCCAGCCCCCTTCAAACTAGTGAAGTAACTGTTTTCCATAATAAGGACTGAAAATGCTGCTATCGAAAGGGCAGTTCATTGGTCTCCTAGGTCTTGTAGGGACTTGGAAGCTGAACAGGATTTTGCCTCTCTGCTACTAGAAATGGGGAGATAAGGATTTTTCTTTTGTCTGGCCTTAAAAGGAAAGCACAATGAGCTTTCTTTGGATAGCAGAAAGGGGCTAAATTATCAGTTTGAAAATGGTTGTGGGGGCAGTAGGGAGGTTTGAAATTCACTATGTTGATACAGAGTTGAAAATTACAGTGATGATGCTAATAAAGGAAATTCCTGTTGATACCACTAATGTTGTACGCTGGACTTTGTTCAGTAGGCTCCATCTTATATCTTGGATGCAGAAGTGTCAGACATCCAGGTTAGGTTCCATCTCCACGTCAGTTCAGATCTGGACATAACATTATTCCATCTGCCCTGTGTCGGCAGGCAGAAATGGAGCTTCAGTGTTCAGCCAAATCTGTAATCCGAATGGTAGGGGAACTGGACTTTGTGATTTACTGCAGAGCGTATTTGCTCTGTGTTACAGGTGTGTGATCCTAGAGGCTCTGATGGCTGCAAGTCTTAGGCAGCAGGTGTGGAAAAATTATAGAGATGAGGAGATTTTAAAATCATATAGCAATGGAAAAAAGGGTGTGGAACAGATGAGAGGATGGGAAAAATTACATCATAATGGAAAAAATAACTACAGAGAAAGCTAGAGAAGTAGAAAACTGTTTTGTACTGGAAGAGGAAGTGCTGACATAATGAATAGTGGTGGGGCAAATCAACAAGTGACATCAGGACAAGATTGTTAATTTCCTTCTGGAAGTGACCTCATTGGAGCTGTCTTCAGTTGCATGCAAATCTAGGAATTTGAACTGAAGCTTGTGATGGAAGTAGTGAATGATAGAATGTTAGTGTCCGAGTAGGAGTAAGATTCTGGTATCATGGGCTTATGCATCTTCTATTGCAGATTGCAGATTCAACTGTCACAAACGCTGTGCATCTAAAGTACCTAAAGACTGTCTCGGAGAGGTGATTTTCAATGGAGGTAGGATAAGAAACATGCTTTTAAGTACTGACAGATCTTTGGAGGCTTAACAAGATGCATTAGCTTTTGGTTACCTCGTCTTTGAATATTTTATATCTTTTTTTTTATCTTTTCTTTTTTTTCACTTGAGATTGCTGACAATGAAAAAAGATTCACTGTAAAACTTACACTCTGGTGACTTTTATTTTATCAGTCTTGGCAAATACATTATGCTTTGCTTGGGATTGCTCAAGGAAAATAAAAAAATAAAGAAGCCTTCTCAACATACAAAAATTAAATATCTGTTCAGTCTGCTCATTGTTCACCATGAAATTTATATTTTTAAAGTGTTAATATCTTAACACCAGTACCACTTTTTGTGACTTTCTCATATCTGTGATTTTTGATGACCAGAGTTAGCCCAGCAGTTTGTAAGGTAAAAGACAAAGGAAAAAAACCAAGCCAAACCAAAACTAAAAACCTGACTCTAATTTTTCAAAGCCTGTTAAGTAGGACTATATTCTGAACAGAACTTAGAGTTGAAAGGGGAAGGTAGGGAACAGTATGTGGAAGAAAGTTTTTAGAGTCTTACACTTGTAAGTTTTAGACCAGTGTTAAGGTGGTGAAATATGGGATGGATGAGCAGACAATGAGGTGACTGAAAGCTGGTTGAACAGATGGGCCTAGAGGATGGTGATCAGGGGCATGAAGTCTAGTTGTAGGCTGGTGGTGTACCCCGGGGGCCAATACTGGATCTGTTGCCATTGCACAACGTATGCCGTGTGTTCATGCCTGCCTTCTCCAAAGCTCTTGCCTGGCTCTTGAGGTTAGTGGCCATGAACAGTAATGTGCAACATGTTACTGCAGCCTGCTTTCACCGCCCTTTTGATGCTAAGGTGATAGAGCATGTAGCTTGGGAGCTACAGTTTCAGACAATTCTTCTGTGGACATGAAGAGTCATTTATTTTTTGTTCTTTCTTACACCCTTAAACTGAGCCCTCCTCAGACCAAAAAAAACCCAAAAACTACTGATGAAGGTATTTGTATGTCTTATTTCTTAGTTTTCCACAGTGCAAGTTGTACAGCTTTTGGAAACTTCGAGCTTCTGCCAGCAGAAAGTCAGATGCAAATAAGATCTATTCTGCTTTTCTTTTTTTCCTGCAATACCACAGCCCCCCTTTTCTCTCTTACTTTTGCTTGTATGGACTACAAGGGCAGTGAGAACAGAGTTGGGTTTCTGTTGGTGGAGGATTTCATTTGCATGGGAATAACTCTCTGGGTCATCTCTAGCCATCAGAAGGTTAATTTGTACTGATAACTTGTAGAACAGAATTACTTAATGAGATTTAGGTTTAGACCTTAAGCTTTTCACTCCATTTCTTTCAATATGATTCTTGTTTAAGTTGTGTCTCTCTTGCCTTGGCATTTAGCAGAGACAAAGTGATAATGTTCGTTAGCACACTGTATCATTTAGCAAAAACTTGAGGATTTTGTATATTCTGATTGTACTTTTACGTTTGCTTGTATAAATGTGAACTGAAGAAGAAATCTAGTGGAGTTTGAGTTTTATTTTTTTCTTTTTTTTTTTTTTTTTCTTCCCCCTTGTGTATTTGAAATAATATCTGAGTCCTGTGTTGTTTCCAGAACCTGCTAGCCCAGGCCAGGACTTGGACATGCCAATGGAAGTTGATAGCAGTGAATTGAACAGTGATGGTAGTCGGGGTCTAGATGATGTTGAAGAGCCCTCTCCTCCAGAGGACAAAATCTTCTTTATGGATCCATCTGACCTTGATGCAGACAAAGATGAGGAAGCTGTCAAAACCATCAGGTAAGTCATAAGGTGGATTTCTTTGCTCTGGATGTACTTGGCTCAATATTGTGAAGTAAAACACTGAGGAAAACACTTCTGATTAGCCCGGTTTTACTGCTTAAAGTGTTGTCTTTGCATTTGTGTTTTTTTAACTTGAAAATGCTTTGTAAAGTTATCCTGTCCCAAGCAAATCTGAAACATAAATTAATGTAGTCTCTTCTATATGGAGAAAGTGCTGTGCTATGACTCTTATGAAAGAAATAAAGCCAGAATATCAAAACATTGTAAAACTTATGGCTTAAGTTGTCATGGCTAAGACATGACCAAGATCTTTGACTTTAGCTTAGTTTAGTTACTGTTATACATGTGTTGATTTAAAAGGAATTTCTTGAGATATTTTAGTATTCACGTAATAGTTTATATGCATTTTGGGTGGAAGCTTGACTTTTTTAGCTTGAATGTGATTTTTCTGAAGTCTTCTATCAAATAACTGTTATATAGTTCCTTTAATCAAATTTGGTCTTTTTACTTTCTGTATTATTCTGAACAGAGTCATCCTGATTTTCTTAAGTAATTCTTAATAATGTAAGACCAGCTGTATTAGGTCATTTTAGCTCAGTGCTTAATAGCAAATATGTAAGGAAGAGCACATAGTGATACCTTCTCAACTTTCAGTGACTTATAGCTCAAGGACTTCCTGATTTGGAAGTAGCATCTTTTCTATGTTCTACCTATAGATAGGATTTTTCTACCTATAGATAGATAGGATTTTTCCATTTATTTCTAATTGCATTTGAAGCAATTATAGGGTTTTTTTGGCATGTACAGCATCCTGTGGCAGCCAGTTCTACAGTGTAACTGTGTGCTTTGTTAAAGCATCCTTACGTTTTTTGGTTTGGAATCTGCTGTGGGATTTCATGTGTTTACAAATGTTTCTGTTAGTGCCACATGTAGGAGCTCTGGTGTTAAGCAGGCAACTTAGTGGTTCACGCCATCTTCAGTGCTATTAAAACCTGTATGTTTAGCTAATAATTTTGTCAGAATGCTAGGGATTGTCCAGTCTTTGTCTGCAGGACAGTTAATATCCCTGAATATTGACAAAATTTCCTAGTGCAGCTAGCAGTGATTTGACTTAACACACCCCTCTTGATGTTTTTATAAATTGGCAGTATGGTTAGATAGGGACTTTTATTATTGTAATAACAGTATGAAGAAGTAGGGTAGTCAGCTTAAGCAGACAAGAGAAAACAGTAGCAATGCTGGTGTTAATTATAGTTTTATCTGGATTAAGACCAATAGTCTCAGCTAATTGTTTTGAGAGAGAATGGTTTCTGTAGGTGTCCTCATTCCAGTGTGTTTCTTCTGTACTTAAGGACTGCAATACTTGCACTAGGAGAGCTAGTTGGAGCTCAGATACCTTATTGATCTATCAATTAAGTAATTTCTATGGAAGAAGTGCCTGTTCCTGAAAATTATGGGCTAAATGTGTTGTACCAGTGTAATTGTGGTACTGTTGTGTTTTAACTTGTCAAATATTAAGTGTTCTATCTTTTTTTAGTCCTTCAACAAGCAATAATATTCCTCTTATGAGAGTTGTACAGTCAATCAAGCACACAAAGAGGAAGAGCAGTACAATGGTGAAGGAAGGATGGATGGTCCACTACACTAGTAGAGACAATCTGGTCAGTGACTCTAGTTTCTCCCTACATAAAGTTACGTTATTTCTCTAAACCAATGTATTTTATTTCTTGTATTTAGATATTCTGATTTATGGTATCATTTGAAATAACTTAGCCATGGTGTTCATTATAAAGAAATCTGGTGCAGAGGAGAGACTGTAGTTTATTCAAAACTCTTCATGTCATGATTCAACAGTACTTTTCCTTCTCTGTTTTAAGAAGAAGCATCTCTAAATTGTCTCAAATGAATTGCTTGTTTAAGATTTCAGCTTTCCTGAGATAATAATTTGGAATAGCTTGCTTATCTCTTCTTTCTGTTTAGCAGCTGAACTGTTTGTATCAGTGTATATTTGTATCAGTGTTTTTATTCTACTGCGTGAAAAGGTGGAAATCATTATAAAATGAGTGCTGAAATGAAATAAGTTGAAACTTATTCTAATGATCTATATGTTTGTAAATATTTATGTATAGATATAGGAGCCCTTTGTTCCTCTAGCAAGTCACTCTATCTAAAAGTAAGCATTATTGAATACCATCTCCCCAAACTCACTGTTCCTCTTGACGTTAGTGGAATAAAGCGTTGTGGCTTGACTGTATGTCCTTGGGTATGCAAACATCCTCCAAAAAGACTACATGGTTTGTTTCCAGTGCTACCAGTAATGATGTCTTAATGGAACCTTCTTAGGCAAGCTCTTTGGTTTTGTGTATTCAGGAGGAAGATGAGGAAGAACAACTGTGTTCATTAGAGTTGTCTGATGGGAGTGAGTCATCTTGTCTTTTGGTAGATGAATGAAAAGGATTAAGTCAAGAAGTTCCCAGATCTCGTGAAGCACAGTGTGTCTTACTGAGACTGTTCATGAAAGGCAGCATAAATACTTTAGCATTCTTTGTCTCTACACAGGAGCCTGATTGAAAGGTGCTTCAGGCATTTAGAGAAGCAAAGTTGTTTAAGTTCTGTTGAAATCAAGCTGAGGGGTGATACCAGTCAACTCAGGTTACTGTAGTATTTTTACTTTTTGTGATTGTCAACTAAACAGACCACTGCAAGGTTTTGAATGTTTAGATGTATTTATCACAAGCCAAAATAAGGATGTAGCATATTGTTCATGAGATTCCAGCCAAGGCTGCTTGACAGACATTAATATAATCAGCTGGCTGTGGAAAAACTAAGGCCAGGTAGCAGAGAAAGATTAATAGTTCTAGCAGAACTGTTCAGGGCAGACCTGGTATTCGGTTCTGATTTAGTCTTTCAGTACAGCCAGTACATTTTTCCATGGACTTTTTTGGACCTTCTCATAGAACAGTGATCAGATTGTACACCTTATCTGGATTTTTCTTTTTTTAATCTGTCAGTCTGGCTGCTACCTGGGTGACATCTACTCAAAAAGGCCTTTCATATGAAGTGGAGTATTCTGCCCCAAAGCAAGATACCTTCAATGAGGCGAGATCTCATAGAGCTTCCTAATGGGAGGAGGCTTCCGTATTAAGCATTACACCATCAGCTATTTCCCTTGACCGCTCTGCTCTAAGCAATGTTGGAATATTTCCTATTCCTGAAACAACTTGGGCTTTCTATCAGTTCCAAAGCAGCAATATCTGTATAATTCTTGCTGACCCTGCATAACAAGATATTTCACTCTTTACGATGAGAAGTTTCTGTATCATTGTCTGTGTTCTTTTCCTCACTCTGAGCTCATGCTTTCTTAGAATATGGCGTGGGCAGATTTTGAATCCTTGAGTGAGTTACCAACCCATTCCTTATTCCCTGCCCCCCCCGAAAGCCTTCCCTGATTCGTGATTTAATAAAGAGCATATATGTGCAAAGGACAGGTTCACCCTTACGCTTTCACTCAGTTTCCATTTAGTGCCGGCTGGGAATTCCGTTCCATTCGTGTCCTAGCTTTCTTTGTCTAGCTCCTACAGGTACTCTTAGCTTCCCCATGACTGAAGTGGTCTGCTTTATTGCAGACTGAAGAAGGTCTGCTTTATTGTTTCAAACTTTGTCATCCTAGGCCAGAGTTAAGTGTCTTGAATTTTTGTCATAGACAAATGAAAATGAGCTTCTAACTATATAAGCATGGTGCAAGCCAAGTAAGTCAGATGCATACAGCTATATTAGCTTTCTAAAAGCTGTTCTGTTTTGAGGAATATTCCTCTGCTTTAAACTACAAGACTTATTCATATTTATTTTTGATGGAGAAAGTATTTCTCATTGGTGGAGAATTCCAGAAAATGGCTATTTAGTCTGTCTTGGGTTTTCCCCCCCCCCCAAAAATATTTTGTCCTATTCAATCTAATACTCTGTCTGTCTTGCCGGTGTGTGCTTTTGACCTTAGAGAATTCTGTGTTGACAAAAGAATTAAGGACTTGTTAGGCTTGCTCAGTCCTTGAACCCTGGCAGTGTTGGTGTGAGGGCACAGAGGGAAAAAGCATGACTCCCACAATTGTTACTAAATTTGAATAATTCAGGTTTTATGAGCATATGCACCTGGAGTGAAACTTGTGCAGGTAAGTGCTTTTCCTGTGGGAGAACTGCTGTTGTCACTGCTATTACTGTACGGTAAGTGACATTTTTTTTTCTGGTTTGTGGAAATAATTTTATGAGCCTCTTCTTGAGTTTAAAAAAAATCTTTATTCCCAGAGTGTATATTTTCACATATCTAGTCTAAGATGGAAGTGTAGATTCACGTTGCTGGATTATTTTAGTCATTTAAAGCATTTCTCTCATTTAAATGATTAGATAACAAAAGCCATACCAGTGATATATTCCTTACACTGTTGTACACTGTTGTGCATTTTGTAGAGAAAAAGACATTACTGGAGACTGGACAGCAAATGCCTCACACTGTTTCAAAATGAATCTGGAACAAAATATTACAAGGTAAATAATGAGTAATAATTATGTTGCACTTTATTTTCTCAGTGCCTTATAGATCCGAAATCTACTTGTGAGCAGTATAAGTTTTATCTCCATTTCCCCGTCTTCTTTAATCAAAACTGTGACAGGTTAATTGTTGGCCAAAGCTTATAAGTGAGAAGGACCAAGACTAACTCTGAGAAGTTGCTTGCAGCTCATATTCTAATCCCCTTGAGTATGTCTCTCCTTACATTTTACATGTACTCTTCTCCTGAATTGCCTAGCATATTCAGCCAGAGAATTCGTTTGGCTGCCAGTCTATGAAGGCTGGGATTTTTGTATTCTAGAAGCAGTGACTGAAAGTTTGCATGCTTATGTGTTTTACTTTGAGGTTCCCAAAATTAAATTATTCCCAACTGTACAAGTAAAGTTGGAAGCAAGATTTAGAGGAGAATTTACTGTGCTGCCTGGCGTTATATAAATGAAACTTAGCAATAAGTGTAGTATATTGTTAATGAAGTAATGTGTTCAATGGTGGAATATTCAGAAAATGTGTTTGAATGTATAAACTGGATTTTTCCCTTTCTTGTCTTACACCTTTAGGTGGGGGTCCAAATCTTGCAGCTTCTTCCTTTATAACATCTCTAAGATCAAGCCTTTTCTCTGTACACCCAGATAAACTTGCCCAGATCCTTTTCATCCCTATCTTGACCAATGCAGGCTCTTCTTCTCAGACCTCCCTGATACTTGTATTGCCCTGTGCATTCAAAACACAGCTGGTAAAATATGTTCGTTGCTTTTTGCTCCGTTATGTCACTGCTTTTAGTCCTTTGACTTGCCCCTTTGCATCCCTTTTCTAACTGCTTAAATCTCAGGTTATTTGTCTTTGCTATTAGAATCATTCACAGTGGTTGCCTTTATGTTTATTTGCTCTTCATCTTTAATCAGCTACTGTCTCCTATCCCCTTAATACCAACCTGGTGTTCACCTGCTTGTTCACTACTCTTGCAAGTGACGTGCACCTGTACACCTTCCCATGTATGTGGACTGTCCTCCTCCAGCTACTGTGAACTTGCAACCATTTCTTCCTTCAGATCTGTTTTCTAGTACTGCTTGTACCATGATCTTAAAACGGCAAGGTAGAGGAGTTGGTCGAAATTGTTGATATCTATATAAAAGAGAATCTTTACCAAAAACAATTCATATACATGAAGCAGTGCTTATTGACTAGCTTGTATAACCACATCCTCTTCTTAATGTTGTCTTGTTTCACCTCTTTCCTCTGTCCTGTTCTTCTCTAGCTAAGCTGTATAAACTACAGTTCATTCTATAGTTGCGCATCATTTGTATGCGGTCGGGGCATGTGTCATGCTTAATATGAATGCAGTTTGAGTAGAGAATAGTAGTTGTATAGAGAGAACTGCGGTGGGGCTGGAAGTCTCTAGGCTTGTACAGAGGCATTCAGAAACTGGGGTGGGTGATGGTCATGCACAGTTTGATGTTAGTTATGAAGCTTGCCATTTTGGTTGTGGTATTTTGATATATTTGCTTTGATGTCTTTGCGAACACTTTGAGTTTTGAATATCAGTATATTAAAATATTATATGTATTTTCATTTTTTAATCTTTAATATTTTTCTTCAGGAGATTCCACTTTCAGAAATTCTCCAGGTGACTCAGCCTCGAGATTTTTCAAACGTGGTGCAGGGCAGCAACCCATACTGTTTTGAGATCGTCACTGACACGATGGTGTACTTTGTTGGCGAAAACAATGGCAGCAGTCATCACAGTCCTGTTCTTGCTGCCTCCGGAGTTGGACTGGACGTAGCTCAGGGCTGGGAGAAAGCCATTCGTCAGGCTTTGATGCCAGTCACTCCTCAAGCTAGCGTTTGCACTGCTGCAGGACAAGGAAAAGATCACAGTAAGCAGGGAGACAAGGCACTATTATTTGTATTCTGAAGCTGCTAATGGTAGAGATTACTTTCAGAAAAGCACTTATGTAGAGTGAAGTATTGTCTGTCTATTCTCTGCTGAATTGGGTCCATAATTTTCCACGAGTCTCTCAAAAGTGACACTCGGGTTTGTGGAGGGTGGGCAAATCCTTTAATCTGTTGTAGCAGGAAATAATAGTTAAGAATCAGATTTACAATATGAATGCATATTGCAGAGCTTTATTGTAGGAGCATTAAGAGCTCACACACAGTTGCTGGATGTAAAAAGTGACTAGTTTAGAGAGAGAGATTTATGCATGCACACATTTTAATAACTAAATAAATATTCAGATTATGTACATATAATCTGAAAGAACTAAATTGGAATGCTTTTTGATATTATCCCCTATATATATATATATATAGATATATAGATATATTTGAAAATCTGTGAGATGTCAGCTAAGGAGAAGAAAAGGAGTTAGTGATGCAATGTAAATACTGCCAGTGATGGAAAGAACTTCTGCTGACCTATGCATAGAATAAAAAGTACTCTATTCTTCCTTTTATGCACGCATCCTCCCTTTTTTTCTCTGGCACAGGATCATACTCATTATCAAGGCTCCACTAAACTATATATTGTGTTCTTTCCTTCTTTTAGATGTATCCTTGTTCCTTACAACAACATTCATTCACATTCTGTACTGAGATTTATGCTTTTATTCTTCAGTTTTCTTTCATCTTCCGTTACACTTTAATCTTCTTTTAGTGAAATTTTCTTTGGCAGGAGATTCTAAGATTGGTTTCTTGACCCTGATATCTGGTTATTCTGCATTGGCAGCAGTTAAGAACATGTAAATGCTGGTCTGAGGTAAAGGCACTTTCTGAAAATACAACCATGGCCTGAAATGGTAAATTATGAAATGCCAAATTAACTTGTGGGTTGACTGGTATCTGTAATTACAGTGAAGAAACATACCTGTAAGATGGTACCTCATAACTGGCCTTATACATAAGTAAAATGCCACTTCTGATACGGAATTCTTCCAAATATATATATACACCAAAGGTCTCCTTGTTTTCTAGAACCCAAGGCTTACTGTTGCTGAGAGACTTGCAAAGACAGTTGCTTTTTCCAAAATCAATATTTTTTTACAGATATAAATAATTTTTATATTAAAACTTGACAGTGGTAGGCAATAGAACTGCAGGGGTAGATACAGAGAGGAAGTATTTTAGCATGTTTAGGAATGTCGGAGCGTAAGAAACTACTACGAACTGTGGAATGGCGTTCCCATTTTCTTAGACAACTCATCAGGTTGATTTTTAAACTCTAAAAAGTCCACAAAATGGCTCTGCATCCCTCTCCTTCCTGCACACTGTGAGCCGTGGAATGTATCCCAAGAGCCTTTAAGAAAATTAGACTTTTAGTTTAAACCCCAAAAGGCTCAGATACATTATTTTAAATGAAGAGACCAAAAGAGGAGGGAGACATTGCTAATGCTTGAAGTACTTGCAGCAGCAGGGAAAGTGTAGTGTCAAAATGTCCACAAGACACTAGCTCCTCAATGTAATCCACATTCTAGCCAGAAAGTAGCTAGAAATGAGGATGTGCTTCCAGTCTGACCCATGGGAAAGAATTCTTTCTGACATTGCACCTGGTGGTTGTCGTGGGATGTTTCTGACCTGAAATGAGAGAGAGATTAGTAACCTGTTAGATAGTATAGATTACATATTGAAACCTGGTGTTACTGATTTCTTCCAAAGTGACAAATTTTCAGCCTTTGCTCTTTTGCATTTCAAACACTAGAAAAAGGATTTATTTGGAAGGAGTAACACAATCTCTACCTACCAGATATTTTGTGTTCTGTAGCTATCTGTGGAGAAGGGTTCAGTGTGTTCTCTTTAAACAGTTTCAAAAACTGTGTCTTTGCGTTCTGGTTAATCTTGTTTCAGCCTTGCTGCAGTTTGTGTTGACCTTAGCAACTTTTTTGCCTGCCTTCTTTCTTGTTTTTCCTTGTGTTCTGTACTGTTATTCCAATACAGACTTGACTGGAGTCAATAATCAGTATGCATATGCAAGGCTGTAATTCCAGTTCATATTTGAGAATGTCTTTGAGAAACTAGTCTTTGTTGCTCTCTGAAATCTGTAAATTCCTTGTTTCAGACAAAGCACAGGTGGCAAAAATCAGATACAGATGTTTTCTTTCTCTAAAATGGTGTTTTTAAAGCCCAAGGCTCTTCTTAGGGTGATAAAGGTGCTTTTCAAAGTGCTAGTAAATCTATATTGTATCTTCTATCCACCTCATATGTGAATTTGTTCTATTTCTTTTTTTTGGAAGTTAACAAATGATAGGTGTCCATTTGTTTGAGATGCTTCACCTTTGTCTTGGAAGCCAAAGGCTGTTTTCCTTCCTTCCTTGATGTATCTCTTCTTGTCTGTGCATCATACTGTTATTCTTGCAATGGAAACTTCATGTCAGTATCTGCTGCAGGCTGAAAAACTCTGTATCTTTATCTGATGCTTTTACTTGCAGATTACACTTCCTAGATGTGCTCTTATATTCCAAAGATTGTGCTTCTGTAGTTTATCCATGAAACAAAGATTGTTTATATTACGGGGTTTATTGCTTTTTAAATTATCAGGTTTTATGTTACTTACTTTGCTTGATTTGTTTCCTTATGTCTTGGTGCCACAGAAAATTAGTAACCACATTCAGTTGACTGTAAGTGATCTGCCTCATCTTCTTCCCTGTATTTTTCTATATTACTACCAGAAATTCTTAGTAGTTTAATGAACTCAGATACAATACAATTGCCACATCACTATTTCTTTTGGTTTTCCAGCTCTCTATTGTGTACATACTCGTACTGTTCTACTGTTTTTGTAATCAGCAATATGACAAAAAGAGACAAAGAATCCCAGCAGAGCTCCCGGGTTTGTTTATTTAAATCAATTTGTGAAATTTGAGTTCTAGAGTATGATGTTTCTGCAGAACATCAATAAAATTTGTTTCACCATGACTGGGTAGAAGTCAGTAAAGGTTTTTTGTTTTGTTTTTCCCTTTTTACTACAAAAAGCCTGCCCTTCCTATTTACTTACTCAGTTATATCTTCTTTATTGCAGAAGAGTTATCTCTAAGCATCTCTGTTTCAAATTGCCAGGTCCAGGAGAATGTGGTGAGTCATATGCATTGTATAATAATTATTTACCTGGGTATTACAAAGTAATTAGTAGTAACAATGGCTGGATGAGAAAGCAACACCAGAGAATCAGAAGAGTAAAAGTGAGAACACTTGTGGGTTGAGATAAAGACAGTTTAATAAGTAAAGCAAAAGCTGCACACCCAAACAAAGCAAAACAAGGAATTCATTCGGTACTTCCCATGGGCAGGCAGGTGTTCAGCCATCTCCAGGAAAGCAGGGCTCCATCACACAAGAGTGAATTGGGAAGACAAACACCATCACTCCAAATGTCCTGCTCTTCCTTATTCTCCCCTCAGCTTTCTCTGCTGGGCGTGACACCATATGGTATGGAATATCCCTTTGGTCAGCTGGGGTCAGCTGTCCCAGCTGTGTCCCCTCCCAGCTTCTTGTGCACCCCCAGCCCACTGGCTGGTGGGATGGTGTGAGGAGCAGAAAAGGCCTTGGCTCTGTGTGAGCACTGCTCAGCAGTATCAAAAACATCCCTGTGTTATCAACACTGTTTTCAGCACCAATCCAAACCACAGCCCCATACTAGCTACTATGAAGAAAATTACCTCTGTCCTCCCCAACACTAGCGATGTCCCTGCTTAAAGTGCAGCTAAGCGGATCCTTCTCAGGGAATGTTTGTTGTGTATTTCCACTCCATTGGGGATAATGATGGCACACTTTGCAAAGTTTGATAAATGTCAAATGTAAATACAGCTTAGACAGTACTGACTAGTTCATGAACATTTTGATTACTCCTGATATTTCTGATTTATTTTTTCATACTTTAGGATGTCAGCTCTGTGTACCAAATATTTGCTGATGAAGTGCTGGGTTCTGGTCAGTTTGGTATCGTATATGGAGGTAAATGGCATTAGATTCTGTGATGCATTTGTTAAGGTAGAATGTCTGTCTGCTTGATATAATGAGCCTTTTTGTATTTGTCTAGGTGAAGTTTATCTTGTTAGAAGTTTTGTTTGGATTACTTCCCTATGTCTCTGCAGTTTTATATATAGTATTTCTTGCAATTCATTTTGCATTGGTGTAAAAATCAATTTAGAATAGCAGTGCATTTTGACTACAGTTAAATACAAAGCGATCTCTAGTCTGAATTTGGCCTTGGCTAATGTGTTTTTTTTTTAAATTGCAAATTCTAACACTGTCTGTATTATACAGTATTTATTAGAAATCTTGTATTTAAGGAGATTGTCAATTATACCTGTTTTTAGTGATATTTGATAGATGTGGCTGAAAGCAATTAGGAAAATATGTATTTTAGTTTATACTATGACAGTATTTATGCAAACATATTATTGACATATTTTATGCAAACAGTTTTTGCTACAAATTTCTGTCAGCAGGATACAGTAAGTACAGGGAGGAATTCTTTGTCAAGAGGTTTCAGGCTTAATTTCAAATGTAGTTTTAGCATTTGTAGTTTTTAAAAACTTCTATTGCAACATATAACTTGTTTATAATATGTAATCACCAGAAGAAGAAATACTAGGAATGCATCATATGAAGTCTGTTTCTCCTTTTTTTTTTTTTTTTATATCCCATCTATTATATCTCAAGTGTTGGGAAAGCCACAGACCATATATCTGGAAAGAAAGGAAGTGATAACTAATGATTTAAACATGGCAACCTTTCTGCTTCTCTCATGTTGTCTTTCTAGTCAGGAAGCATTGTGGCTATGATTTTTCTGTGTGCCATTTGTTTAGTTAAATACTTCAGAACTGCTTGATGGAAATGCAGTTTGATGGTCTAGTTTTACATCACTCGTGAGAGGTCTATTTTTTTTTCCTCTGAATTTCTTAAAACATAGTGTGAATCAAAGTAATCTCCCTCTATGACTACAACATGCGCAAATGCAGACAGTAGTTTAATGTTTTTATTTTATTTCCATATATACTCTCCTAAATTGCCTTTTAGATAAATCTCAGCTTGGTATTTTTCATGATTCAATGCTTATAAATATTAATAAACATAATAAATGCTTATAAAATGTTTTTATTAAATCTTTTCACTGAAGCCATATATATTTTAAGGCATCTTTGCATTCTCAGTTTCTTAAGATACAATCACAAGCCGAAAGAGCAAGAAAAGAGAATATAAGAGAATATTCTTCTGCTGGCTCTGCACGCTGCTTAATTGTTACTAGTGTTCAGGGAGCCTAGGTCTGGTAACTTCTAATATTGGCTTCTCCCCACCTGTGTAGGCTTGCTGAAATAATGGCAACAAAACATGTTATTTAAACAAATAAGGGTAAAATTAAGTTATGTACTTTGTTGGAGAATTTGGTTTCTTTGTTGGGGTGTTTGTTTTTTTTTTTTTATTCTGGACAAACATTTACAAATTGTAAATCACAAAGTTATAGGATATTGATATCCAACTTCTGTTTTTTTTTTCAGTGAGAACAGTTTCCCTCTGCTTTGCCTATTTTAGTTAGTTTTGAAGGGTCTGAAAAATGGAGGAAAAAAAAAATTGACAGTTTTTTACTGATGTAAAACTTGTCCTGAGACCTGGTTGATTGTGTTTTACAAACACAAAAGGAATTTTCAAGCTGCTTTTCTGTTAATCTTTCCATGTTCAGTTTTTAGCTCTAGTATAGCTTCTATAGTTCAGCGTTAGTTTGGTGGTTTTGCTTTATGTTCTCTTGCAACCTAGCTTTTGTCTTCTGGGTTTTGCATCTGGCTTGTAATTTATTGTATTTCTGCTGCGTTTTGATGTAATATTATGTTCAGTGGAGCCAGAGTCACTTTCCTGAATCTACCACTTTATTTGAATTATAATGGGGTGCTGTGATTTCTAATATTTTGCCTAAAATTGCTGATTTGTTACAGACAAAAAATGACAAAACTCCATGGATCTCTCCCTTTCAAGACTTATGGCTTTATGCTGTTGTCTGTGACAGTCCATTATACAGTGTATGCTTTCCTTAGGACTAATGTAATATTTTTAAAATTTATTTTTTGCTCTCCAATTGTTAGTTCTGTTTGGTAACCTTGTAAACCCTTTTGGACCTTGAGTGGTTTCTCTATTAACTGGCTTACTTAATCTGGTGGAGATAAGCCTGGTTTTGACCCTTTATTGATGATGACGTTTAAGGCAGGTGCATTGCTGTTTTTTTTTTTTTTTACAGGAGAGGCAATATTCTGTGGGAGTAGGTATTACTTGCGAATGCGCAAGTCCCTTGCGCAAACAAAAACTTCACCTAATATGTCTGATGTCAATGTGCATACCTGAGAGCAGAGTAGTAACCAGTTTAAATTTATCTACAACGTTCCTGTTGGGACACTTCTTGTTACTCATACCGGTTGCAAACTTAAATATAAATATCGGAATATTGTACCTTTGTACAAAACATACTTATTTTCCCAAAAAGGAATTTCTGCTGTAATGTTTTATAGCTATGAATTGCTTCTGCCTTTTCATGGATGACATTGACTTTCTGTTTAGGAAAACATAGGAAGACTGGAAGAGATGTGGCTATCAAAGTCATTGACAAGATGAGGTTTCCAACCAAGCAGGAAAGTCAGCTTCGTAATGAAGTAGCCATTCTCCAGGTACAAAAGTGTTTTTGGATCACATGGGAGTTTGTCTCAAGCCATTAATAAGATTTTGTAATGTGTGTAAGTGCTCTGAATTGATTTCTGAATCTGTGTATGTGATTCCTGAGTCTTTTTGTAAGAGAAAATTTTAGAAGAGTGGGAATTCCTGAGTATTTGGTAGAATTGATAACTTGGGAATAGTATCCACCCTCTACAGGGGTTCACACATGCTTTGGCTCTGTGGTGTCTCCTGCAGGTAGCAGGAAACTCTGTTATTTTTGGCTGTCTTCTACTACTGGCTCCTCAACCTATGAGTGTTATTCTGGCATATTCTGTACTCAAGCTACTGAGTGTATCAACTGTAAAATTAATCATTATGGATAGGTTGTGTTAAAACAAATTAATCTTAGTAGTGATAATTGATATGTTTCATGGGTTGACATTTATGTTTCAAGCTAGTTTCTTGCCTCAGACATTTTGTTTTTTTCATCTCTAACTCTCAACTGCTTTTTGATTTGAGGTACAACATTTTTGTGTAATTCAGGATATTTCATACTGTTTTATTTTAGTGATGTACTTATACTACTTTGTTTCAGAATTTGCACCACCCTGGGATTGTGAACCTGGAATGTATGTTTGAAACCCCAGAACGGGTCTTTGTTGTGATGGAAAAGCTGCATGGGGATATGCTAGAGATGATTCTTTCCAGTGAGAAAAGTCGACTTCCAGAACGAATAACTAAGTTTATGGTCACTCAGGTTGGCATTCAGTCTCTACTTTGAGAGGAAAGGCGAGATTTGTCTTTTGTGATTATATGAGAACAGAGCTTGGAGAAGTTTTGTATATTGTTATTTAAAAGAGGCAGCACAGAGGGCTGCCCACCTGGTGAAAATTGGACAAACAGGGAAATAATTTTGAATGTTAATTATGTTAATTTCTTTGCCCTTCTTTCCCAAGACATAACATTATGGACATCCAAAGATGCATGTCAAACCAGTAAGCATTCGAAAAGAGATGAAAGAGGGGAGAAGAAAAAAAAAAGAAAAGCAAACCCATCAGTTATAAGTCTTGATAGGCTGGGAAAAAATAGTACTTGCACAGCATATACAGATTAACTCTTCAAGTCTTTGTTGGTACAAATGGCTGTATTGCTCAATGTGTGTAGCTTTTGACACTTTTGATCCACTTGAATAGTTCTGAAAATCCTCTTTCCTTTTTAAAGATACTTGTTGCTTTGAGGAATTTACACTTTAAGAATATTGTGCACTGTGATTTAAAACCAGAAAATGTACTACTAGCATCAGCAGAGCCATTCCCTCAGGTGAGTGAAGATGAAAAAATACTTGTTTTGTCATTTTTCATTGTTCTGTTTTTAAAGAAATATAGGCATTGCAGCTTAAAAAGTGACCTCTTGTGCGATTGTTCCACTGATTTAGTCTAGAATTAATTGAACTACATGTATTATCGTTGTCTTTTTTTTTTACCCAACTCTTAGCCTAGCTTTATGCTCAATGGTCTGTTTCAGTTTCCTTCCACTCAGACCTGGCACCAGCCTTCTTTCTTCCAAGGAGCCTACGAAGTGCAACTACTGCCAGCACTTAGCAAAAGGCTCTGTAGACGGCATCTGTTCGTATGCTTGTGAAGAGTGCATGTATTCTGGATTAGTGAGAGTAGTCCAGTGGGAAAGGCACAGGACTAGAAGCTTCAAAACCAGTCCTTGTTTCTCTTCTAGTGCTGTTTGACCCAGGGAAACAATTTCTTCCCTGGTGTGCATCTCTGTCTGTAGACTGCATCTGTTCTTATGCTTGTGAAGAGTGCATGGAAATCAGTATTCTGGATTAGTGAGAGTAGTCCAGTGGGAAAGGCACAGGACTAGAAGCTTCAAAACCAGTCCTTGTTTCTCTTCTAGTGCTGTTTGACCCAGGGAAACAATTTCTTCCCTGGTGTGCATCTCTGTCTCCTCCTCGCTCTTGCCTCTTGCGTATAAGCTGTTGTGAAAAGGGACTGGCCCATTTGTCACTGGTCTTGCTCAGGGATCTTCATCATCACTATGTGTGATGTTACATTGTAGTATAAACTAAATAGCTAAATTCTGTAAGAGAAATGCTGTTCAGTGATACTAGTATTTATGTACTGCCAACGCTTACACCACTCAGCTGTTACCTTAGATACCTTGGACAGAATGGATTTAGTGGAGGATGTACAGAAATTAAAATCTGCTAGGCAGCATCAGGAAATTGCTTCCAGTGCTGTGACTATAATGCAAAGTGGAGTGGGCTTTCAGAAAGTCACTTGTATGCCTTTAGTGCACTGCTCTTTCCTGTACCCTGAGGAGGGCTTATTAACCTGCAGTTAGTGCTGGACTTGATCTGGATCCTTTTTTTCTCTACAAGTGTCTGCTGTGTTCAAGTTAAGGAACCATCCCATAACCATAGAGATTTGAGTGTCAGTGTGGGCACCGGCTGTGGATGCCTTTTATCTGGATGATCATTGGACTGTTCTGCCCAGAGCTGCCTGGGTCTGAGTTCTGGCTGAAACTCATTGTTGGATTTCTGTGTAGCTGAAGCCTCCAGCCTCAGGAAGATGATTAAGAGGGATGTGGTCTGTCTGGGTTTCATGTGCTTTTAAAATTTTGTTTCTGTGACTTGTGAAGGTGTGGATTTGCCTCTGAAAGTGAGCTGAGTTTGGAGTTGAGTTTTTTTGTCCTTATTTGCACATATGTGGCAATGTATGACACAGGCTCCCTCAGATCTGAGTCTGTGCAAGGCCAGTTCAGGTCTCAGTCCGAAGCATGGTTGATCCACAGTCTGCAAAACCAGCAACCTAAAGCCTTAACTGACTGGCTTATGTAATGTTTGTCTCTGTTTTAGTGCATGTAATGTTTAAATGGTGGCAGAAGCAGTGTCAAGTACCACTCTGGTCTTGGGCAGTGCATTGGAGATTAAGCGTGCATTGGAGATTAAGCAGAGATTTCCCGGGTTAAAATATATTTCTTTTGCAGGTGAAGCTGTGTGATTTTGGCTTTGCACGTATCATTGGTGAAAAATCTTTCAGGCGCTCTGTGGTGGGGACACCTGCTTATCTTGCCCCTGAAGTGCTCAGGAGTAAAGGTTACAACCGCTCGCTAGACATGTGGTCAGTAGGAGTTATTGTCTATGTGAGCCTTAGTGGTACATTCCCATTTAACGAAGATGAGGATATAAATGATCAGATTCAAAATGCAGCATTTATGTACCCACCAAATCCTTGGAAGGAAATTTCTAGTGAAGGTAAAGACCTGAATTTTCTTTATTAGAATGTCTCTATATGTAGATAATGCATTCAAATGTTTAAACCTTAAGGTTCATTCAGGTAGGAGTGTGAGAATTACTGATAGTTTGAGTTTAGGAGACTATGCAAAAATGGATAAAGATGAGCTAGCATATGTTTGTAGAAGATAAATTGTCAAATATAATGTTTAAGATCATTTTCAGGGCAGGAGGAACCAATAGATTTAGGAAGAAAAATTAGTTGCATGCATGAGGGGAGGGATAAGTGGCGTGAGACTTCCCAAAATACCTAATGAAAAGTTAAATCGTGCGTATTTGCTGAACACTGATCTCAAAACATACTTCATCTAAACTATAATTATAGAAACGGTTCACAGTTGAATCTGGAATTTTAGTTTTGTTTCACTTGCTAGTGTACAAAAATTGGATCTAAATGTCAGGTCTGAACAATCTAGAAGTTTATGAGGTTGGTCTCTAGAGCTCTCCAATGCCAGCTTTGTTATTAGTAATGTATATATGATTAGCACAGAGGGAGATGTGGAAGGACATATACAAAAGTATACAACAGTGGAAGTACCTACATTATTTTGGAACACAGGATTATGCTTGAGTTATTTAGGCACTTCTGAAAATCATGAAAATCCGTAGGGAAAAAGATTAACAACTAATGTAGTAAAGCTTTTAGAGTTGCCATCAAAGTCAGGGGAAGCTTACCCCATACATGTTTTGTAGGCTCATTTAACAGAAGCAAAGCTAAATATAAATTTCAAGAGCTTGATTAAGTTTAAGAGAGTTCAGTAGAATATCCAAACACATATATAAAAAATCCACTTTCAGCACAGCATGTGAATGATGGTAGAGATGGTTAGTGTATTTAAACAGTATAATTTTTGTTTTGTTGTTCTTTTCCAGCCATTGATTTAATAAACAATTTGCTGCAAGTGAAGATGAGAAAACGTTTCAGTGTTGACAAATCCCTTAGTCACCCATGGTTACAGGTAAACCCATCTGCCTTTTTCACTATGTTTATAAAGGGTGAATAATGATCTTTTTGGATTAAGTCCTTTAAAGCTGCTACAGAGTTTGTTAACAAGCATTCATGCAGGCTTGAGTAGGTCTGGTTTTAGCTTTATATTTTATGTGAACCAGGATTCTGCCCATCTGTCAATGGCTTTTCTCCTCAAGGAAAATTTTGTCTTACTGTCTCTCTGGCCCCTTACTTTCTGTCTGACACCAGTATAGAGTTTTACACTTCTGGCACCTCTCAGTGCAGACAGTGTTGAGTGCATGGATCCCCACTGAAATCAGTATAGAAACAAACATTGTTCAGTGCTGAAGTGGACACACAAGCTGGTGTGTGCTATAACTTGTAGTCATTTTAGAAGAGAATTTTTTAAAATGGAATTTATCTGCTTGTTTGACTCAGGGTCCTTTCACATGGTTTCACAATACTATATGCACATATCCATGCACACAAATAACTGAAGAATTGTTAACGGGAAAATTCAATTAATTTTGAGTACAAACAATATTGGAACGAGTATAATTTAATGTATAATTAAATGTATATTTAATG